AAATATCATCTAGACTCTTCTTCTTTTCTATATCAGCACATAATTAAAAAATAATTTGGTCCTTAGCAAGTCTTAAAATTTAGGTAAATGTTACCTCATATGAACAATACCACATGACATGTTTTACTGTGTCATTAATTAACAAAAATGCAGAAGCAGTGTGTGATAAACTAAGCACATCCTTACAAATTCCATAAGAAATTAAGAGGGTAAGTAGCAGTTGGGTAGCAGATCCATAAAAACAGATGTTTTGGCAGCTTTTCTGGTCTGAAGCATTCAGGTGCGTATCAACACACACCTGACTGTCTTTCCTGCTAAGGAAATCCTTCACTCAGTGGCTGCTGCTTAGGACTGAACATGCAGTTTGCCCTTCGTGCCTCCCTCTTTGAACTTTTTGTTAAACCCTGTTAATAGTGTTGAACTTTGCTTGTTAACCCCGGTATATGGGTGAACTTAGTTTGATTGGAGTTTTGTGATGCTAACTTGCCTTACTTAAACCTTAACTTTTACCCTTGTCTGTGTTATTGTATTACATGTTAACTGGTTGCACAGTGGCCTGCAGAATGCAGCCCTGTCGGTTTTCAGTTTGAATTTCTGCAATTAAACCTTTTCTTCATTTAGGTTCCTGTGTATGTATGCTTATGTATGTACTCCTCCCTGTTCCCTGGCAGACGGGGTCGTAACAGGCCATAACATGCATCGCCATGTCTGGAGACACCCAAACAAAGCTTATAAGCCACAAACACCTCAAAGCAACTGTCAAGCACGGTAGTGGAGTGGTGATGATTTGGGCTTGTTTTGCAGCCACAGGACTTGGATACTCCACTGAGTGGACCATGAACTCTTCCACATGTATGCCCATCTCTCCAAAAAACTAAAACTTGGCCACAAAAAAGGGTCATGTAGCAGGACAATGATCCCAACCACATCAGCAAATCTACAACAGAATGACTGCAGAATCAAAGTGTTCCAATGGCCCAGTCGAATCCAGACCTCAATGCTGTGCATAACTGCCTCACTGCAAACCCCAATGCACTGAAGCAATGCTGTGAAGAACAGTGGTCCAAACAAAATTCCTGCACAATTTTTATTAAGTATTTAATGACACGTGTCCATCTGAAACTGTATTCAAATAATTTTAAACTTGGTAGGAACCAGGTGATTTAATAAAAAATTATGTCCTGAAATATTTAACCTTAGAAAACCTGAATGCGACTGGAGTAAAGGGTGTGATTTCTTACTTGAGAGAAAGGTTTGCAAAGATGGGAGCAAACGACTGACAATCAGAGGACCAGTTGGCGTAGAATTCAACGAGCCATGTGACACGACTGTCCCGCTGCAGCTCCTCCTAATGAGTGAAGAACACAAAGTTACACTCAAACCAACCCACCCCTCTGAGCAGGGCATGATCAGTTAGATAGTTCACTTTTTTTTGGTATTTTAGTTTAGGAATTTTAAAATGTCAGACATACAATTAATATAATATCATATAACTGGATTTCAGTGTTTGATGGAAACTGCTAATTTCAAACAAAATGATTAATAGACTCAATCACTCCATGAACTTTCAAATAAAATAACACTCCCAGCTGATGTACCTGTAAGTAATTCCCACCTCTTTTGTTTTTATCTATCATTACAAAGACCAGTGGCACTACTATACATGCAAATGGTCAGCTGATATCAGACAGGACTCACGTCGATGGTCTTGTCACTGAAGTACTTGATGTACTCTGGGCCCATGTAGAGAGGTGGCTGACAGGTCATGACAAATGCTGCAGAAAATACACAGATAAACAGACTGATGAGCTTAAAAAGGATAAAAACAATGTACACTTTACAGTTTATCCAGTGGTAGTCTGTGTTCACCTATGATACTTTGGTAAAAAAACATTTTTATTTGTGTTATTTCTTATTTAGATTTTCTCATTTTATGTTTCCTTTCTTAAACTCTGCCATATGTTTTTATGTAATTTGATTATTTTAGGTGTACACTTCGGTCAACAGCTGTTGTTTTTAAATGTGCTATAAAAATAAATTTGACTTTGAATGCTTTATTTTTTATTTTATTTTTTTTTTTTTTGGGGGGGGGGGGGGGGGGTGTTGTAAAGTTTCTAAACAGGGCTCAGATTGCTGCTTTACCAGGAGAACACTTCACAGAGAAGATGTGAAGCTTTTTCTTAAAATAAATAAATAAATACATAAATCTTTGCCAGATGAAAAATTCAGGACTTCAGAGTAAAAATACTCATTGCACCTCACCTGCATTGGAAAATAATCGAAATATATACAAGAAAACTGCTGATGTCACTTTTCTGTACAGTGATAACACCGACTTCCCACTGGATGGTATTCAGATGAAGAACAATTTGTCAAAAGTGTGAGGACTTTTATCAGTGGAATTAGTTTCAAGTACATTACATTAATGATCTTTTTTTTTTACAGCAGTAACAGAAATGGGGACTAATTGCTGTTGCACATTATGTCTCAGAAACACTGGCTCAAGGAGAAACCCCTTGATGAGCTTTAGATATCAGTACAAGGTGAATACAGAGGGCTGATTAATTTGGCATGTCAAAACAAAACAAAAGACCACTCCTATTCTCATGAACATATCTCTTTAACTAAAGAATTAGTGCAGCGTCACTGCCTTAAGACTGGGGATGGTTAATGCAGTAGAGTTGTCCTTTTCAAATTAAGAACCACTGGTAGACACAGTTTACACTACACAATTTTAAAGGTGGTTGTGACAGACCGCTTCCCTGGAATTCTAATGCTTTATGCACGCACACACAAACACACACACACACACACACACACATATATATGGGTATGGAAGTATAGGGCTTGAGAGACCACTGACCGAGGCACAGTGCAAGGTAGAGGATGCCAAACCGAATGTCCATCCTGAAGAAGAGGATACAGTTGGCCACTTTGCTGAACATTAACAAGTTCCCAATGTGCTGCTCCACTGTGACTGAGGAAACAAAGAGCAGGGAACAATGAATGAACAGCAGAGGAACACCTTCATACTGTTGACCTTGCAGTGTGTAAGTGAACCCCTCCCACTCCCTTAATGTTTACACAACAAACCCAAAGTTTACAGTGAATCACTTTACAGATGTGCGTTCTCAGTAGAGTGGGGGTTCCTCTCAAATGGTTTATCAGATCAAGGAGTGGAAACCGTTAAACATCAGACTGTGTGGTTAAAGATTAACAGCAGCATGTAATAAAGACACAAACAAAGCGACCTTGCTGACTTTATCTAAAAAGTTAAGGTCAACAAATAAATCGCAACATATCCCGGTGCTTCCTATGATTCGCTGAGTGGTTTGGATCATTGGCCACATGGTTGATTGGGCCACTTTTTGTGATGTGACAGTTTATTGTGTAAACACACTTTCATCAGTAGGTTTACACATAAGACAGTGTGATGTGTGTGGTGGGGGGTAGACTACTCACTAGCTCTCCTGTTCTTCATCATCACTATTGCACTGAGAAACATGAGGATCTCCAGCTCTCTCTGTAAAACAAAAGGAGCAAAATCATTAAAAACAAACAAACAACAACTTTGTGTCAAGTTTATTTACTACTTCTATTTATTTCATATTTCTGAGACTTAATTAGCCCCACCAAATGTAACCGCAAGCATTACCGCAACTCCCCCACCACCACTATGCTCACCCAGTCAAAGTCACAGGAGTTGCCGTCCTCGCGCTGGGTCACCAGGTGCTCGCAAAGACCTGGAGTCTTTCGCACCACCACGAAGGAGATGGTCAAGAGGAAGGACGTGATATAGTACGGCTTGAGCAGCCATTTGTAAATCTGAGGTAAGTGATACAAGAAAGCGAAGAGTCCCGTGAGTAAACCCATGCTGACGGAGAAGACGAACCACCGCGACAGAGTGTTGGAGGAGAAATGACAGCTGGAGCTGTTGAGCTACGGTGTTACAGAGCGCATGTGCCAAATGGGGGCGGCGGCGTCGTTTCTGGGTCCGGCGGCTCGCCGTAGATTTGGCGGGCGCTGCGAAACATAAACAGAGGCAGCTGAAAAATGGAGGAAAGTAAGTCAGCAACAGAAGTGCACAGTGTAGGTAGAACTGGTGCGGAAGATTCAGCTGAAAGCCAGGCTAATGAAGCGACAGGAGAAACTTCCTCACAGATACCGAATAAACCGACACCGGAGGCGGAGGCTCGGTACAAGAGGATGAAGCTTTTTGACAAAGTCATGCAGAAGAGCCTGAACAAGTTTATCGAAGATGTCAGGTAACGTGTTGGGTGTTGTGTTTATTACCTTGTTTTTACGGTAAACTACACGTATTTCATGATATTACCTCTGCACGAAGGATATAAACAGGGGTGAGAGCTGGTTTGAATGTTTCTCATCAAATAGTTACAAAGGTGGTGGTCATTAAATAAACAGTAAACCAAGTGTGAAGATCTCATTATTAGAACACATACAGTCTTAATTTATCTCAAGTGAGCCAATAAAACTCCAGTATAATAACCTAGAATACCCCAAGAGTATATATAAGATATTTCCTCAAATTATCCCTAAATTTAGGGGACTCACTGTGTCACAACACCGAGGCATTAAAAACAACATAAAACAAAATAGCTTAAAAACCATGGAATAGCGAGATTAATTTTAAAAAGTAATACAATAAGGGACTTAAAAAGTAAAACTAACAACTAAGTGGAGGTATTTTGGTATAAAGGGGAAGTTTCTGATTACTATATATAGTGTTTTAGTGTCAAGAAGTGTTCTAAAAGCTTCATATTTAATGAACCTCAGCTTAAAAAAAAACATTTGATGAACAGCTTACTTGCAGTTCGTGTCGTTTCTGGGGAAAAAGCAGAGGGAAGCTTGTTGGGAATTGTGCAAAATCATAGGGTTATTATTATTATTTTTTAATAAATAAATAAAAATAATGGATGGAGGTTGGGCTGTTTAAGAGCCCTAGCATTTTTTTTTTTCATTTTACATTTTTTGTTATCTAGAAGACTACTTATGATCACTTATGATAAATATTGGACTTGAATTTGACATATTTCCTTTTAAGAAGTGTATCTTTCCCATACAGATTTTTTTTTTATCCTTGCACATGTGAGATAGTGAGAGAAATTGACAAAGGAATGATCCTGTGGTGTTTGTTAGCAAGAAATCTATAATACAATGATTCAGAACTCTGGTTTGGGCAAATTTAACACTTCAGACAGGCACTCTGTTATGATTATTTTTTATATATATATTATTTTACTTATAGGTCAAAACCAAACATTTCCACTGTCCTCCTGTCCTCCAAAAAAGAAGGCCTATCCAAACGTACTTTTAACATCACACAAGCAGTAGTGTCTTATAATGTTAATGATCTACTTATTCCTTAGCTATCATTTTCAGGAAAGGTCATATTTTGCTTCACTTTGTTCACACTGTTCTCTCACAGTTTTAACAGATTCGCCAGCATGTTTCGTCCACTGTACAGTAAGAACCCTCAGAGAATGGAGAGCATTCACAAGCAGTTCATAGAGGAGCTGCGGAGCACCATACAGGTCTGTAGCATATTACATTAAAACCCTGTATTAAAAAAAAACAAATGGGAGGACTTCTGCCTCCTTTGTATTGTGTATTGCTTAGGCTGTATGTGTGGTACACCTTTTTAAACATTGTATATATGACATTTATTACATTTATGACATTTATTGTCAATTTCCTTGCTGATAGCAGTAAAATGAGTATTACAAATTCTGCATCAAACTAAATGTTTAGCATTTTGTCATTCAACAGGACAAATCAAATAACTTTTCTGGGCAAAACCAACATTTGTATAGCTGTCCAAATACTCATTGTATGCCATATTCACTGATCTACTACTGGTCTTTATTTTCACTTGTTGACATAAAAGTTTGTGTTTTCCTGCTCATGAAGGAAGATATCAACAGACTGATTGAAGAAGGCCAGCTAGAGTTAAAACTGAATGAGCTGGATAAACTAGAGAGAGCCACCAAGGACAGTCCAGACCCTGCATGGTCAGTAAACCGCTTTGAAAACACTTGAACTTCTGAAATCTTGAGCATTTAATTATATATGCTTTGTGCATTTTCTTACCAAACTGCTAAAATTCTCTCTTTTCTTATTTTTTATTTAATTAAATAGTGATAAAGTAACTAAGTGGAAATATTTTTTCATTAAATGTACTAACTGTATATTTAAGAATTTCATTTAGTCAGTGAATCAGATTGAAAAGGTAACTTTGCATCTTGTATTATAGTTATATTGCCTTTCTTTACTACACTGCATATCACCACTGTGTTACTTCAGCTTTTTAACAATCAAAGCATTTTAATCCCTCATCTCAAATGTTGTCTTAGGCGACCAAGCGGGGTCCCTGAGCAGGACTTTTGCAGCTTTTTGATGCCTTACTATCAAAAGCAGGAGGCCTACATGCGACGGGAGCTGAAAAAGATTCAAGCAGAGAATGCTGCTCTAGCACAGAAGGTTCAGGGTGGAAGAGAGAGCATCAGTCAGACTGAACACCGAATTTCTGCTGCTGTTGATGAGTGGAAGGTGAGAGAGAAAGAGTAGATAATTGGCAGAATAGATATGACTTGTCCCTAATAGGATCCATGAGAAACCATATTCAGCATGTATGCAAGTATAAACCGTGTCATTTCGATTTTATATACAAAATATTCTTTGTACAGTACATTTATTTTGATGATCACATACAGTCTTTTTTTAGCTGTTACATGTATATAGACCTTTTTTCTCATATTCTTACATTTGTGTGTATATACATCTTAGGTCCTTTTTGTATTATATTTTAAGATTTATTTGTTATATTTTTATTAAAAGCGAGTCAATGCACTGAAAATGCACTGAAAATGCATTCTAATGCGCACTAACTGATGTTCTGAATAACAATAAAGTAGATATTCTATTGTATTCTATGTTTCTATCATTCCTAATGAGGATGTTCAGTATATTTAGTCTCAGTGTAGCTTTAATGGTTTTATTTGGTAACTTGTTATAGAACATTTCTACTTGTAACATAAATAAATTGAGTGCTAATAGTTTTGTTATGTGTGTTCTTATCTCTCATTTTTAGGCATCAGTGACAGAGTTTGAAAGGCTGGCGTCATCTCTTTGCCCCGCTGATGTTTTTGATGTGTGATTTTCCAAATTACACAATATGTCCACTAACTTAATTGTACATAATGAGTTTGTTTACTGTGTCTGTTTGTTTGAAAATAAACACGACGTTTTGGAAATTGTTAGTGATTATAGTCCTGTATACGCCGACAGTTACGGTACAGTGCGTGTTTGTTCCCTGCATTACGGTAAGTGGCCATGAAAAGAAGTGAGGAGCGGAGCGCTTGACACTCGAATTCACGGAGAACAGCTTCCTCGCAGATAGCAGGCCATAAGCTTGAAGAGCCCGGCATTTTCTTTCCATATAAATGTATTATTCAAGGTAGATATGACGGAAATGTTTTCAACTCTTTTCGGGTCAAATGAAGCTCAGGGACCACCTGGTTCTTCGTCTCTGGGTTTTGGACCGGGGAAGCCTCCACCGCCTATGCCGCAAAATCAAGTTGCCATGGCGGGTCAGATACCACCGCAGCTCGGGGATGAAGGGCCTGCTCTACGGAAGCCTGGAGCTATGAATGAACCTTTCTATTTACTGCGGGAGCTGCCTGGTACTGATGAATTCTTGTAACTGTTGGGTGCTTCGTGTTTAATTTGTCCTTTATTTAAAACTTTAGCCGAAATCTAAAGCTGCTTAAATAGTTTGTAAACAATACTAGCTCACGTAGGCTGACTAGCTGGTTGTGGGCTAACATTGAGTTAGCGGATTGTAGTTAGTAGCGATGTATTTTTCAGTGAAGCGTTTATATTCAGTGGGTAACACAAATGCTGTAGATTTAACACCTTTTTGTGGCTTAAAAATATGTTGTGTAACTACGGTTATTATGGGAATAAACATCCCTGAAGTAGCCCAGGTTCCCTTTGGAAATGGCCATCTATTTCACAAACATTTATGTACTGATTGGTTACAAATGATATGAATTTGGTGTGTGTGCTTAGTGGGGAACGAGTTAACTGGAAACACCAACCTCATCACGCACTACAACCTGGAGCACGCTTACAATAAGTTCTGCGGGAAGAAGGTGAAGGAGAAGCTCAGCAACTTTCTGCCAGAGTTACCAGGTGGGTGCGACAGTCACAGATGTGGTCAGATAACTGTTTAGTAACAATCTTATAATGATCAGTGTTGGACAATAGCGGTAAAGCTTTGCTTTGATAGCTGTGAAATGTAATATTATAAAAGATTTTAAAACCTGGGTTCTCACTGTCCTTTGGATACCGCTGACTGAGAAAAAGTCTTTAAACTGAGTTTTACTAAAGGACACATTGACAACTGAGAGTTATCAGAACTTGTTCGTATGAGCAACCACTTGGAGAAAGTGGAAAGGATAACTCCCTTTTAAGTGGAAGAAACCTCCAGGAGAACCATGCTCCAGCTGGGGTGGTTAGACTGGTGAGGGGAAAATGGAGACGGTAGATAGAGCTAGGACAATACAACCTATAGGAGGGAGTTCACATCTTATTGACATGCTGTAAATTAAAATAGATGCCTCACATCTGTTTCCCATGGCGTTTTTTGGTCCATGCAAAGGGTCAGTGTCAGTTATACAAGTAGTCTATCCTCCACGCCAGCCTGTTTCACAAGTTCTGATATCTTAATTGTTTGTCATTTTGGGTCATTTAATAATGCCAAATTAGTTCTGAAATAATGAATTATAAGTGTAATTATATTATTGTGTGTTTTGGTTATCTAGTTTTAAGTGTACTATACAGGCCACCTTTTG